TCAAATGACATAGCAATAACATAGATGCAAATGACTCTAGTACTTCCAAAAATGAACTAGTGCCATCTGTTGCAAACATGCGTCATGACTTTTCAGATGACCCAATAGTTCATTTCCTATATACATATATATTTTCTGTAATCAGTATATACTATCATTCTATGTATTTTTAAATTTACATATATCATTTTACAGTGTACATATTTGTTGGCATGTTGCTATTTCAATAACTTGTTAGCTATCAAATGTTGCTACTTATAGGACTCATTTGTTAGTTTTATTTGGTGTAATATTTTTTTGTAGGAACATATATTTATCCATGTCGTATTGGACATTTCCATTGTTTATATTTTTTGCAAGGAAGCAGGCTTCAACATGAATATGTCTTCTTGTGCACACCTGTAGCAGTTTCTTTCTTTATTTTTCTAGACATGAAATTGCTGGATGATAAAATGCACATTTTAAATTTCACCCAAAGTAGCTGTTCTCATTTTACACTCTACCTGACATGTTTAAGTATTGCTGTTTCCCAGATTCCTTCCCTCACCTGAAATGGTCAGTCTTTAACATTTATGGAGATAGTTTTCAAGTGGTCATGTGAACAGATAATTTCAGTTGTCACTCTAGATACGTGCAAAGAAAAGGCCAGAGGAGGCTTGATGGCAGAGAAGACTTTGAAAGGTTTATTGTAGTGTTTGGGGGCCCTATGCTACTGTTTGGTTTCCGTCAAAGTGCTACCCAACAGGCACTCTATGAGAACACCAGGAGTGGCCCGTGCTGCTGCTGGAGATGGGATCCGCCTCAGGGTGGTGGCGCTCCCCTCCTCGCTCAGTTGGTAGGTGCTGGTGGTGGCTTCCCCCCGCGGTGCGCGTTGGTTCCGTTCCTGGACGCCTGCGCCTGCGCACGCCGGGAGAGCGCGTCTCCTCTTGGTAGCGGCCAGCTTCGCGCGCGTCCGCCCGCCTACCCGCCAGCTCCTAACTCCTGACGTGCCGTAGGCGCTCGCGACTCCCATAGTCCTGGAGGAGGGGTTCCGCGGAGCGGCCCGTTGGTGAGTACCTGTAGCTTCCGCACATCTCAGCCAGCCCTTTTCCTACCTTCTTCCTCACGGGGGCCGCGGCCCGCTCCTGACCCGTAGGGGCGCCTCTGAAGCGGAGACAGGGCCCTCTCGACGCGGAGTAGGGAGGGCCTCTCTTGACTCCAGGTGGGCGCCTCCCGACGCCGGGGTGGGTCCCTTTATATGCCGGGGATGGCCCCTTGGGTCGTCGGGTGGGCGTCTCCCGACGACGGGGTGGGCCCTTCGAGACGCCGGTAATGGCCCCTCGGGATGCGGGGTGGGCTTCCGCCCTCGAGTGCCGGGCTCGCCCCCCTCACCCTGGGAGTGCGGCCTTCATCCTTCCAGGCTTCCCCTTCTGCACTTCTCGCCCTCCGCGGAAGGGGTCTGCACCCCTCCTGCTCCTCGAAGGCGTCTTCCTCATGTGGAACCCCAGGAGGAGGCTCCGTCCCGCCGCCTCCCGGGAGTTAGGGCGACTGAGTCGCTTAGTTGCTGTCTTCTCACGCCCCTCCCTCCAGACTACTGTTTTGTCGGGGAGCGATTCTTGCATTAACTAGTTATTTTGCCAGAAAAAAAGATTTTCCTTGGAAATCCTTATCGTCATTTACCACGTTCCCTTCCAGCAGAAGTGGTGCGTTTCCCCTCTGTACGATGACAGTGTTTCAAGCCTTTTACACATACACATGTATTGAATCTTCACGAATAAGTGCGGAACTGTGCTCTTCAGTTTACAGATGATCAAAGACACACATCTCGGAAGTGGTAGAGCTGGTTTTGAATTCAGGCAGCTTGACTCCAATGTCCTTGTCTTTAGTCCTATGTCATACTGAGAAACAGTAACACCCAGGAAAAAAATGGAAGTTTTTTGCTTCTGTTTTTATTTTTTCCTGTCAGGGGGGAGGCATTGCTTTGTAGTTGAATCATAGAATGTGTTTTTGGAATCAGACACATCGGACTTAAATTTCAACATAGTCTTTTACCAACTTAACCACTTACCAGCTGTTTGATTTTGAATGATTTTCCTAGTGTATAAAATATTGATAAAAATTATTTATAAAAATAGTGTAAAATAATGATACCTATCACATAGAGTTCTTGGGAGGAATATCTTCTATAATGCGTGTGAGGTACCTAGAATAGTGTCCAAGGACTCAATAAATAACTATAATTTAGTTATTACTCAAAGTGTGTTTGGATTCTGTAGTTACACACTTTGTACTAAACTGAGGTTGAGTATGAACTGGAAAATAAAACATCGGTGTGTTTGTGTGTGTGTGTGTGTGTGTGTGTGTGTGTGTATGTGTATGTGTAGACGCAGGTGTATATTTACCTTTTTTTAAAATTCGAGAAACGTCAAGCTGATGTGATCAGTTGATAAAGAGCTTGGTACCAAATTTCTTGAATAGTGACATACTTATATAGGGGTAAGAGTCAATCATTTATGAAGTATTGTTGTTAGGTGCCCCCAAGCTTTCAAAGCGATTTTGACAGGTTTGGTAGGTAGAGTGTTAAGATTTTAAATTATCTTGTCAGTGATTATTCTTCAGATAGATTAAGATGATGGATGTGCTAAAAGGAAAAGACAAATAATATCCCAAATTGGAGATTGTGCATTCTTTTAGAGACATTCTAGTCCTAAATGTCATGAAGAGGCTGTTGGCATCCAGACTCTACTCCTTCTTTGCAGACACTTAGTGGTAATTCATTCTGTAGTCTCAGTTCAAGTACTTGAAGATAAGCTGTTATTTTAGTGAGTTCTTCATTTTGAAGAATAGCAATTTAAATAGTAGTTCAATTATGTGCTGGCTTGCTTGTTTGAATTGGCTGAGCAGTGACCTTTTTTACTCCTAGAAATACTTTGGAAACTGTGGCTAAATCTCATAAAGCACTGGAATTTTGGAATCTGTATCTGTGGGGCACCTCTTTATAATGCTTCGTATTGATCCCTTATCTGCTGTGGTTAGGGATAGCTTTATTGAGATATAATTAATATACCATACAATTCACCCAGTTAAGTGTACAATTCAATGAATTTTAGTATTTTCAGAGTTGTATAACCATCATAACACTCAATTTTAGAACATTTTCATCACCCCAAAGACAAGCTCCATACTCCTAAGTCATCAATACCCAATCCCACTGAGCCCTAGGGAATCACTGCTTTGCTTTCTGTCTATAGATTCACCAGTCTGGATATTTTATATAAATGGAATCATATAATATAAGGTCTTTAAGGATTGACTTCTTTCACTTAGCATGATGTTTTCAAGCTTTATCCATGTTGTTGTATATATCAGTGCTTCATTCTTTTTTATTGCCGGATAATCTGTTGTATGGATATATCACATTTTAGTCCTTCATCAGTTGGTAGACATTTGGGTTTCCAGTTTAGGGAATAATGCTGTTATGTACAAGTTTTTGTGTGGACATAAGTTTTAATTTCTTTTGGCTGTTTACCTAAGAGCGGAATTGCTGAGTTGTACCATAACTCTAATTTTAGCATTTGAGGAACTACTAGACTGTTTTTTAGGGGCTTCATTATTTTACATATTCACCAACCAGCCGCATATGAGGTCTGACAATTAAGTACTCGAACTTGTTGCAACGATATTGCTAACCTTTTTTGATATCAGAAGGATTATTCATTATGAATTTATACCAATGGGACAAACAGTTAACCAAGTTTATTATTTGGAAGTGCTGAAAAGGCTGCGTGAGAAAGACAAAAATGACCTGAACTTTTCGTCAACAATTCATGGCTCTTGCATCATGACAATGCACCAGCTCACCAGCTCACACAGCACTGTCTGTGAGGGAGATTTTAGCCAGTAAACAAATAACTGTATTGGAACATCTTCCCTACTCACCTGATCTGGCCCCCAATGACTTCTTTCTTTACCTGAAGATAAAGGAAACATTGAAAGGAAGCCATTTTGGGACCGGCCAAGTGGCGCGTTGGTTAAGAACTGGCTTGGATGCCAGAGGGCCCTGGTTCGGATCCCACATATGAGGGCCAGTGACACTGCCCTCTACAGCTAAGATGCTGAACAACAGCTCAACCTGGAGCT